GCCGCTGCAGTAAATCCTTAATAAGGTCACTGCAGAGTGCTCGGCGCTGTGCCACCCTTAATCTCACACTTCATTATCAGTGGCTCTGGTTCATTTAAAACACTTGCTGACCTTCTGGTCTCGTGGTGGAACTAATTACCTCCCAAAGGCCAGATGAAGACAAGAGGACACGCACACAGTCCCCAGCCAATTAGACTTCTCCCGGTCAGCCGGTCGGCCTCCCCGCAGCCTCTGAGCAGGCGTGAACACGTTTAGAGAGTTTCCCAGGACGGCTGGCGTTGCCCTGGTTAACGGCACACTGGGTTTGTAAGTCACGTAGAGGCCGTTCTCATGTCGCCATCAGTGAGCACAACATTGGGCTGATTTGAACCTCAGAACAAAACGAACGTGGTCCATCCAGAGGTGTGGTCCATCCAGAGGTGGGGGCCCAGGCTAAGACGATCCGGCCACTGCTAAAATTGCCTTGGGTTCAGTCTGAGACTGCATTACCTAAAAGACCAGACCTGTTGCATTTTACTGGTTTCAGTGGTTTGTCTCCACCTGAGGTTGGCTCGGGGTTGCAGGAGACATGAGGACATCCCACCATGAGGTCACTCAGAGCTGCTTCAGATGGGCCAGACTCATTTCCTGTGCCAGTCATATATTAACTGTCTGATGAAAAATCATTACCAGTTTCTTTCTTCTGTTGTTTTCTGCAGCTCATTGACTCCAGCGGTGATTTGATGATGTAGTGCTTTGTCTTGTCACCCGGGTGGATGAACCTACAGACCCAGGTCTCACTCAGAACGTAAAAGAGTGGACTGAACTTTGACCACGGTCACACGAAGCGTTGTAACTTTCCCCATTTGGACAAGAGGCTTTTATTTTTCCTGCTCTGTTTATAGCAGCGTCACTAAAGATGATTCATGGCTTAAGTTTCAGGTGTTACAGCTCCGACCAGTTATGGACAAAGAGTGACTGGATGTCCAGTGTGGAAATGTGTTTCTGGACTTTATGGGGACGGACCCTTTAAAATATTTGGACTGTAATAGTGAACTGAAATGAAGTGAGACCAGTGGCTGCCTGGGAGGTAGGAGAGTCATTTCAAACCTCGTGACCACTACAGCAATACAATACACAACACTGCAGTAAAACAGGAAGGACGCTGCTTTATGTAAAGACCAGGCTCCAGGTGTTGAGTCATGAGGGTGACGACAAACACCTGGATCAGCGGAGACGGTGTTTGGTCCTCAAAGGGCAGTTTGATGGTCAAGACTCGGATTTAACGCAGTCCAGTGTTCAGGAGTGAATCATGTGAGCGTGGGTGTGTGTGCGGACACGAGCGAAGCCGTGCGTGAAGTCGGGAACATTAGTTTAAAGCTGAAACACAAAAACCCGTCCCATCAGCACGGTCCTTTATCTCATTACATGCACTCGTGCACACGCACAGAGTGAGACCGTTTGTGAAAGATGTTCCTCTATCTTTGTGAGGACCACAGCTATGGTTAACCAACTGTCTACCCGGGACACTTGGACACCAGGTCTGTGGGGACCAGCTGAAATGTCCTCGGTGTCCTCACAATGATGGTTTACACACAGAAATACGTACACGTACACACACGTTCGCTCTGTAACGGATAGTACACATCTGTCTCTTTTACGTGCACACTCAGACACGCACACGCCCGTCTCCATCAGTCAGCTCGGACCTAACGTGTGTAATGATGCGCACGAGTTTCATTTAGAAAAGTGATGAACATAATGATGGAGCGTCGCCTCGTGCGCGTCGAGGCCCGTGTACAAACCGGTTGGCTGTGATTTATTCAATCTGTTTATCAATGCACGTTTTCAAACACGTTCAGGACCGTGCGCGTCTACTGTGCTATTAGACGTGCTCTGTGTGTGTGACGTAAAATAAAACTATCCAGATGGAAACAGATGTTTGTTTCCACGTAACGTGTTTCTTTTCCCGCGCTATGTGATTATGAAGCTGGTCAAGTGTAAGACACGTGACACAGTGAATCCGCGTGTCTTCTCACACGCAAACCCACAGCAGATGAGACGCACCCGGGTCGGAAATGTGTGAAAAATACCGGGTCACCCGCTCCGTTGTGCGTCAAACACACAAACCAGAGGTGAAACGTCGTGCACACACACTTCGCCTGTTCACGTCCTCGGAGCAGCTGCAGACTGAGACCTTTGGCTTCAGCCCTTCTCCACGGTCACGTTATGAGGTGGGAGTCAACTTGTCCTCTTGGTAAGAAGGATGGACGGAAGTGGACAAAGTGACTTCCTGTCACATGATTACACAGACGAGGAGACATGTTGTCAAACAGCAGCACTAACAAGAACATGAGTAAACACTGAGACACACGAGAGGCAGCCTCACTTTAACTGTGACACACGCACACGCACAGGGGAGGCTGAAGATTAAAAATGCATTAAAAGTCAATTAGCATCCTGCTGAGGCTCTGCAAT